ATTTATTTTTGTTAATATATATGTATATTAATATATAATTAATAGGCCTATATATATTATGAAGAAGGAATATTATTGAATAATATTTTGTGATAATACATGTATTATATTATGTTGTTAATAATAAATTATGATAATTTATGATAACAATTATCATATTAATATGAGATATATGAAATTTGAATTTAAAAATAGTAACATTACAATATCTAATTATAACAATTATTTAATAATTCTTAAGTCTGTTGAACTTGATTAAATAAAACAGTTTCATAAATGCTGAACAAATCGAATTTAATAAAGATAAAAACGTTGACTAATTACATGCAATTTAAAATTCATATTTTATGCTCAGTTAACCATTACTTAATAATTAAAATAAAATAACAACAACAAAATTATATAAAAAATTTAAAAACTTTTTCATTAATTTAATGATTAACTTAATTGATAAAAAAAATATTTATAATGATCACAGGAAGAGTTATAAATAATTGTAAGTTGTGTTTGGCGTAATCTCTTATAAATTTTTTTATAATAAAATATTATATTATTCATTATTATAAAAAAAAGCTTAATTTGCAGGATAAGGATAACTTTTATTTAAAAAATAATAATAATAAATGCTAATAACGAGTAAAATCTTCATTAAGTCGACTCCACTCGAGATATAACACATGTCCACATTCTAACTTTTAACCATCAAAATTTAATAGAATCAATCTCCAGATACACAAACCACTCTGCAAAATTTCATAAATTTTTGGCAAAGGTACAGGAATTCCAGCTTCAAAGTGGGTGAATAAAATCTTTTCTCCAGGCCCATCATAGACTTATAATGGGGCAGCCAGGTGGTAAAAGACAATCCAATGCCGAAAAATTTCTGGAGTTCTTTGTCCTTCCGGATTTGATCCCCGATTCCTCAGAGAGGTAGGCCGACGCCTTAATTACCTCAGCTATCCAGCAGGACAATCTATAATTTAAACAATGTTCTCTCACCTGGTCACCTGGTTCTCTCACCTTTTCCCCCATGAAATGGGATGGAAATAATATCCAAACTATGTAGAATACTATGTCTGAGTTTAATGTTTTAATATAATTTCATATACACGTATATACAGTAATTTGTAAATGTGATTATAAAATCAATTGTAAAATCGTAAAACAATTGTAATTAAAAACCCCTTGGGGCACCAACTAATGGTTTGATGAGTTTAAAAGGTTTACTTCCGATGAAGATTAATATTCAAATATTCCAGTTTTATTTAAGTAGGATCGTTTCATTCGTGCTTTGGTAAAACATTTTTATCATTTCACAATATATAAAGGTTATACGGGAAATACTGTTAGAGTTTGCAGCGGAAATTTGCAGTTAAATTGGAAAATATTAGATGAGTAATTCGATTGAAGGTAAAAATCGTTTTAATAACTTTACAGTGTTTTACTGCATAAAAAACTTTGTTATATCAAACATTTATAATATAATATCCATGCTAAAGGTTTTAAGAATTCTGAATATTAAATTTAGTAAGCAATTACACGTATACATTCAAATGCGCAATTATTTATCACTGTACTTAAGATTAACCATCCCTTTTCTCATAATCAGGAGATAAAGAATTGAAAAATAGTTTCATATAAAAAGAAAGTTGTTAGTTAATCTTAAAATAAATCTTTAAAGAGAGAGACAAAACTAAAGACACCTTATCCTGCAATGGCATATTTCCTGCAAGGTATATAAGTGTTTTTCAGTAAAGCCGACGATCATTTATTCAAATCTATTTTATCGTTATGTATTTTAGCTATTCAAACATTTCTCTAAATGCAGAATTACAATACGTACTGTATATCCCGTTTTAATATTTGGATAGTCTGTCCACTAATTTTTTGTATAGACGAAGTTTCAAATAACAACATTACCTTAAAAAATTTAATATACAATAAAATGAAACATTATAAAAACAATACATTGAAAATGCCATTCATATAAATATACAGGTGTATACAATAAATTATTATCGTATATACAGTATAATTATGAAATGCGTGCCTAAAGAAGCAACTCCGCTTTACTATAATATAGTTTACTATTATTTGATTCCATCAATAGAGATTAATCACAATCAGAATCTTAAATGTGAATATAAATTGAATTTAAGAGTACTGTATATACGAAGTTAAAATACTGTATGTTTCTATTATATCTGTGTTTCGTATTCACTTCCAATTGATAAAAGTTTATTCGAATATTTGTTCTTAACTAAATAATTGATAAGCAGGTAATTGGTACAACACTACGAGATGAAACACATCTCTCGTAGTGTTGTATCATTCCAAGATAGTGTGAGGTCCCAAACGGAAATCGAAATTTTATGTTAATGATGACGAATATTCGGTGAGACAGTTAAAATGTCATCTTTCGAAATTAAAAATACAAAGCTAGATTTAAGGTACTCCGAAAACAATAAAAGTTCTTTCCCGCCAAAAAGGAAAACGAAAGGCTGGAATTACAAGGGAGAATTTCAAAGTTCGGAGAAATTTTACCGTGGCGTACCGTGGGTGTCAGCCGCCCGAGGCGGAGGAAAATATCGCCCCCCTTATTTAGGTATTTCAATTTAAAAGACCAAAATTCAGTTTTCTCACAGAACAAGCAATGAAAAATTCGGTGGTAGTGCAGCGACCTGTTTAAAATAGTTCTATTGAATATTAGTGGTGTATATGAACGCGAATGAATCGTACAAGCAAAAAAAAAAAAAAAGCCAACAGGTTTCGCAGGAATTCCTCGGATGAAAAAGCTACTAGTTAACCCGGCCAGCCGATTCCCGGACTGTCCGGACGATAGCACTATCGTAGGCGCGATGCAAGTATAGATTAGGATGTTTCAAATTTTTACAAGATATTATTATTATTTATTGTAAAATTTTGCCGCACCCTAAAAAGTGCCGCCCGGGGCGGGCCGCCCCTGCCGTCCCCACTAAGGTACGCCACTGGAGGCGAGAAATCCTTTTAAAATTCGTATTTCAAGGACACGAGGTTCTTTGCTCCAATATTTGTTCTTTTTCTCTAAGAGCTGATCGTTTTCCAAGTTCCGTTATTCTATCTCCCAGATCCGTTCGTTTTTCCAGAGTTGCTCTCTCTCCACGATCTGTTATATCCGAACTTCACGATCATGCAGAAGACTGTCAACGAGGGACCGAGTGTACACATTCAGTGACATTAGGAACTTTACTGGATTCTCTTTTTTAAAAAACAAATATCAAAGGAGAATTGTAACGACAAAAATACAGAAGATTTTGTAAGAATATTTTTATATTTTATTAAACGGGAAAAAGTCAATGGTAAGCCTGTCTCAGTGTGTATGTATATCACGCCCATTCACGATTGTCTCGACCCCTCAATCGCGCACAGTCGCAAACCTTACAATAGCATCACTGTTCACCTAATTCAATTTTACATTAACATCAGCACTTAATTTGATGAAACTCAAGGCAAGATATATTTTTCGTTGTGTAACTCGATTTTAAAATTTTAACGTACATTTGAGAAATCACGAAAAGTTCAAGGATATCCGCGAACCATTCATTTCTACTCAAAAATAAATTTTTAATAGACACTAATATCA